GTAGATCAAGAATCAACCACATGATGTTTTAAACACTTCAACACAGAGAGTGAAGCACAGGTCGTCATGACAACTGCCTCCCTCACTCATGCTTACTGCTGAATGGACTAACACACAATGAACACACACACACACACACACACACACACACACACAGCATTGCCAAACTGTGGAACATTCAATACTCACAGCTCTCCAGTTGCATCTTACAGAGTTGTGTGTCCATGGGGAAGAGAGTAAGGTCCAAGGGACAAGACAGTGTCACTGACAGCCTACAGACAACATGAACACCACAACACAGGGTCCACTGTTAAAATGGAGTGACTCCTGGTACATTTAGCATTATTTTACCCTGTGTTACTTTGCTTTACAATTTATTTATTTATTGTTGTTTGTTGGATCATTGCATGCACAATAAAGATTTTTAACACAGTTACCAGAACTTTACACTCAAGGAGCACGCACCAGCTCTGATTGACACAACCTCAAACATTCTGTAAAACATTTAAACACTTTCATCTACAAACTGGATTCCAAAAAAGTTGGGACACTAAACAAATTGTGAATAAAAACTGAATGCAATGATGTGGAGATGGCAAATGTCAATATTTTATTCGTAATATAACATAGATGACAGATCAAAAGTTTAATCTGAGTAAATGTAACATTTTAAAGGAAAATATGTTGATTCAAAATTTCACAGTGTCAACAAATCCCAAAAAAGTTGGGACAAGTAGCAATAAGTGGCTGGAAAAAGGAAATTGAGCATATAACGAACAGCTGGAAGACCAATTAACACTAATTAGGTCAATTGACAACATGATTGGGTATAAAAAGAGCTTCTCAGAGTGTCAGTGTCTCTCAGAAGCCAAGATGGTAAGAGGATCACCAATTCCACCATTGTTGCACAGAAAGATAGTGCAGCAATACCAGAATGGTGTTACCCAGTGTAAAATAGCAAAGACTTTTAAGTTATCATCATCAACCGTGCATAACATCATCAAAAGATTCAGAGAATCTGGAACAATCGCTGTGCGAAAGGGTCAAGGCCGTAAAACTCTACTGGATGCTCGTGATCTCCGGGCCCTTAAACGTCACTGCACCTCAAACAGGAATGCCACTGTCAAGGAAATAACAGAATGGGCTCAGGAATACTTCCAGAAAGCATTGTCAGTGAACACAATCCACCGTGCCATCCGCCGTTGCCAGCTGAAACTCTACAGTGCAAAGAGGAAGCCATTTCTAAGCAAGCTCCCCAAGCTCAGACGTTTGCACTGGGCCAGGGGTCATTTAAAATGGAGTGTGGCAAAATGGAAGACTGTTCTGTGGTCAGATGAGTCACCATTTGAAGTTCTTCATGGAACACTGGGACGCCATGTCATCTGGACCAGAGAGGACAAGGATAGCCCAAGTTGTTATCAACGCTCCGTTCAGAAGCCTGCATCACTGATGGTATGGGGTTGCATGAGCGCTTGTGGCATGGGCAGCTTGCATGTCTGGAAAGGCACCATTAATGCAGAGAGCTATGTTCAGGTTCTAGAACAACATATGCTCCCATCTAGACATCATCTCTTTCAGGGAAGACCCTGCATTTTTCAACACGATAATGCCAGACCACATTCTGCAGCAATCACAACATCATGGCTACGTAGGAGAAGGATCCGGGTACTGAAATGGCCAGCCTGCAGTCCAGATCTTTCACCTATAGAGAACATTTGGTGCATCATAAAGAGGAAGGTGCCACAAAGAAGGCCCAAGACGATTGAACAGTTAGAGGCCTGTATTAGACATGAATGGGAGAGCATTCCTATTTCTAAACTGGAGAAACTGGTCTCCTCTGTCCCCAGACGTCTGTTGAGTGTTGGAAGAAGAAGGGGGGATGCCACACAGTGGGAAAAATGGACTTGTCACAACTATTTTGGGATTTGTTGACGCCGTGAAATTTGGAAACAACAGATTTTTCCCTTAAAATGATACATTCTCTCAGTTTAAACTTTTGATCTGTGATTTGTGTTCTATTCTGAATAAAATATTAGATGTTGGCACGTCCACATCATTGCATTCAGTTTTTATTCACAATTTGGTTAGTGTCACAACTTCTTTGGAATCCGGTTTGTACTTTAAACACAGAACGATACCATGATGTCACTTCCTGTCAGACTTGGCTGAGTGGACAGTCTCAGTCCACGCACTTTTTTCCAAGGTCCGCCCCGTCAATAGGCTTACATTTCTTTTTTCTTCTTTCTATTCAGTCTTACCTAATTATTAAAAAATAAGTAATAGAAATAGAAAAATGTTTTAATTTACCAATAAATAATCATATAATCCATCCATCCATCCATCCATCCTCCATCCATCCATCCATCCATCCTCCATTCATCCATCCATCCATCCATCTATTCTCCATCCATCCATCCATCCATCCATCCATCCATCCATCCATCCATCCATCTATTCTCCATCCATCCATCCATCTTCCATCCTCCATCCATCTTCCATCCATCCTCCATCCATCCATCCATCCTCCATCCATCCATCCATCCTCCATCCATCCATCTTCCATCCATCCATCTTCCATCCATCCATCCTCCATCCATCAATCCATCCATCCATCATCTTCCTCTTGTTCTGGACTCAGGTTTCTGGGGCAGCATCTTGAGCAGGGAGGTCCAGACATCTCTTTCCACAGCCTCTTCCAGTTCTTCTGGGAGGACTCCAAGATGTTCTCAGACCAACAGAGACATAGTCTCTCCAGTGTGTCCTGGGTCTTCCCCGGGGTCTCCTCACAGTCAGACATGCCTGAAGCACCTCCCTAGGGAGGCGCCCAGGGAGCATCTTTACCAGATGAACTACCTCAACTGGCTCCTCTTGAGGTGGAGGGGCAGCAGGTCTACTGAGTCTCTCCTGATAACTGAACTTCTTGGTGCCTTGGGTGGGGGCTCTGTGGAGCTCGCTCCGGGCCTTTTTGTTCTCATTGGCTTTTTGGGGTCGGCGTTCTCCTTTGGGGGTCCCCCGTGTGGATGGGAGATTTGTGGCATCTGTGTCTGGAGACACATTTAGATGTTTTTGTGCTGGTTGGGGATGGCCCTCTGTGTGGGGGCTTGTGGGGGGTCTGCGGAGTTGAGACTGGAGTTTGCTGGTGGGTTGGGAATGTTTCACCTTGGGGCTGCTCTGTCTGTCTGGCTCGTGGGGGCTGCATGGTCTCTTTCTGGCTCCATCTCTGGATGGGGTCGGGCCGGCGTCTGGGCTCGGGTCATTTGGGTGGTGCCCGGCCCTCATCCGGGCTGATGGGCTGCGCTGCTGCTGCCGAGGTTTGGGCGGTCTGCTTTTCTCCACCCCAGAACGAAGGGAACTGTCTCCTGGGTCTGGAGACGGGTTGCCCCTTTGGTGGGATCTTATCTGGACCTGGGAGTCTGGCGTGAGTATGGGGAGCACAAGTGGGTGTAGAACGTCCATGTTTGTGTGTTTATGTTGGATGAGTGGGTGTTAATGTGTGTGTGAGGGTGGGAATGTGTGATAGTGTTCGTGCGTGCCTGTTTATGTGTCAGGTTGGGTTTTGGGTGGTCCCCTCTCCTGGATCAGCTTGGCCCCCCATTTAGTGTGGGGCCCTGTCACACTCCCCTCTGGTGGCTGGTCCCCCTGCCCGCCACTGCGTTGGTGGCTCTCGACGTCTGGGGCTGGGTGCTCGGGTGTGTGCCGGCCCGCCCTGGTGGCTGCTGGCCAGGGCCCGGGTGTCCTGGCTCTGTTGGGCCTGTGTTGGGGGGGTGGGGGGTGTATAACCTCAGATGAAATTTATTAGATGAAGAGAAAAGTGGAGGCAGAGGCTGTTCCATGCAGGAGCAGCTTACACATGTAAAGACTGCCCACACTTCAATATGACGTCTGTTGAATATTAAACAAGTCAAATGTGCATCATTTAAACACTTGCTGAGTCATTAATGACAAACTGACGACATAAAATAGTTTTCAGTCTTTATTTTCTTTATTTTCAATCCTCCAAAACATCAAAATGTGAAGAATGCACAATTGACCTTTGACCTTTTGAGAAAACCATTGGTTGCTTTTTGAAGAACCTGTCAGGTTGTGGATGAATAAAAAAATTAATCATTGTTCAGTTGATTTTATGTGAACTGTGACAAACTTTTCAACTAAAACATTCACGTGTGTAGAAACAAGGATGAAAAAGGGAGACGTGGACATTATTTACTCTACATGTTGTAAATCGAAATGATTCTGCATCACCGATGATCTCTTCAGCCGACTGCAGCAGCACGTCCTCAGAGTCTTGTCTTTAGGAGATAACTGTGTACAGCAACGCGTCTGTGTCATATGCACCTTCATCCCACCGAGTCATCTTGCCCTGTTTTCTGTGAGACGTGCTGCAGTATTGATGATGATGATGATGATGTGTAGGGTCCTCCCACTGTGTGTGGACTAGGGGTTGAACGAGTATATAATTTTTAAACTCGACATTAACATAATAAAACCCGAGTAGAACTCGAGTATTTGATGACGTCATAGATCTCAAGATACAAAAATAAATAAATAAATAAAACTGCAAAAAAGGTAATTATTTACAAAAAAAAGACCAACAAAACATTGGGAGTGTATATTTTGCTCCTACCATTTATCATACTGCAAATAAGTCACAGGAAAAACTAATCTATTAGTTTTTATTATTAAACTGCAACCGTGAAGAAATGCAGCACGTCAGAAACGAAACTTAACAGTGGGGGGGTCGACCACCCCGCACCACCGCCAGCTGTGGTGCGCATTAAGTTTAGTTTTAGAGATTAATATGTTTATAGATTTGTTTTATAGGTTTAGAGATGAATATTTTTTGCTTTTTGTTTGTGAAACAAGAGGAAGCTGGTTCTGGTTCGGTGCATTGGACCCGGTGTTACACCATATTCTATGACCTGCAGCAGTGCAACACCGCCCCCTACGGTCATACGGTGGTCACATGATATGACGTCACTACGGATACTCGACGTTACGTTTTTAACCTCGATAGATGTCCCAGCAATCGATGTGTAATTACTCGAGTACTCTGTTAATGCCCTAGTGTGGGCCCAGTGCAGATGTGGATCAGGAGGTTGTGTGGAGATACTGGGACGACTGAAGGTGAATCCACAGCGCGCTCTGAAAAACAAACACAATCACTCACGTTAGCTGTTAGCAAAACAGAACGTGTAAAGTGTCACTTAGATTTTTAGATTTGATGAGGAACATTTCTAATCCTACAGTCTCTCTCACACATGCAAAATTATTTATGTCCACAGAGCTGTTGGTGGCTTTAGCCCCCAGAAATATTCTTAAGCCCACTAAAATTACGTTATAATGTTATCAAAATATTGTGATTAGCTTTTATTTTTTTAATAAAAAAATTAAAAAATCAGTTGGTGCTACGTTGCATTTTTTCTTTTTAACAAGAGTTTAAATGGAGGTTTTCTTCCAGCTGCAGCCGTTTTAAATAAATGATAAATAAATACAATGCCTCTCAGAACTCAGCATATTCTTTATGAACTCAAAGCCGAGACTTTTACAGCCCTGGGGGCTAATCCCCCCCATGTTTCAATCCTACGGACGTCCCTGCACAAAATAACAATAAGTTGTTTGTCCTGTATTTGGGAAGTGTTGAAGTTTACCTGGTTGCTAAATGAAAAGCTGTTCTGGGACAGTTACATGAAGCCACGTGCTTCTGCCAGCATGAGACTCGTGTTAATTACCAACCATGGCCTTGTTTTGTCTTTTAAACTGACACGGCTGCGAACAACAGAGCAACATCCAGACTAACACGTCTTACTGCAACCAGCCAGCGCTCGTACGCCATTCACCGCCCTCACTCAGTAAAAGTTCAAGACTGTAGGATTCACATGTGAAACGGGGACAAACCACATTTACAGTTTCACTCACCGGGAACAGATTTGGTCGTTTTGTTGATGTTGCTGGAAGCCGTCTGGCTCACAGTGGTTCGGATGAGCCGTGGGGGCCGGTCATAGCCCAGATAGAGCTCCGGGTCGGGGTGCACCTTGTAACGGTCAGGATGTATATTGCTGTTGTAGCACCTTTCCAACGCCACACGTGGGCGCCTTCTTTATTTGATATGTCATGACTCATTACAGAAGTCAGCAGGGTGCATGTGGGCTGTGTGACACGTTAGCTGCGCTGCTCGACCTCAGTAACGAGTGCTGAAGGACATACGGACTATATTTATATTCATGTATGATATTAGACTTGGTGCCGTGGAGACCTGGCATCGAATGGTTTTTCTACGTAAAGTAATAAAAAGTGCAAGTTGGAATCAACGTTCTGTCGCTTTTTTCCAAGCTACACCGGAGCACGTGTTGCTAATGCTAAGCTAGCTCTCCTCCTACATACCCCCACCACGTTACAACCTCTGTGGGCTTTTTATCCATAAAATGAAAGGAGCAAACGTAAACTCTCTTCGGGGGTATTTGAGTTTTAAACGCTCGTTTCTGATCCTCCTTCCTCGACACAGAGTGCAGTGAATGTGGCGCCGGCGCAGGAAATAGAAAACCGGACGGTGGAAGTGGCAGCGCTCTTAACGAAACATGTGGATACATGCACTACAGTCACGTCTCTCCTGTACACGAGTCCCAGAGGCTCAATGGGACTAACCTGTTTAAATAAAGGTTGAATGAATGTTGTGCCTGTACAAATGAGCCATGACTTTGTACCGTGTCTGTATTCTTCATATATTCTTTTTGTAACCACTGAATCATCGATTTACAATAAACTAAGAACCAATATTCAGTGCAACCAGATTACACTCACAACAATTCATCACCAAGACTTTTAACCTGTAAAACATTCCCCACACAAGCAAAGTAGTAGAAACGTCTAAGTATCCTGAAGGTGGCTGAAATGTAATTTGATATTTCCTGTGGTCACACATCCAGTGTGTGTGAAGCGTGGCCCAGTTGATGACACCAGATGAAGTTCTAGTGTGTTGGTAAAGTTGAGTGAAATTAGAAAGAGAGTGCACACCTCATGCTGATGAGGACATCTCCATTCCTGAATATAAACAGAAGAATGTTGTCCTGCGTGACATCATGGAAGTTGGCATTTTTCTCATTGGCGAAGAAAAGGTCTGGTTTCCACAAACACTGGAACATGTTGGGGTCAACGGTCAGGGCTTCACTTTTGAAATCGGTGGGGAGTCGTAGACGAGGGTCATTCCATCTCTGACGAAGAAATATATTAACTCTGTAATCCTGTGGAGAGAAAGCATTCATGAATATTTTCAACACTGTTGTACTTCTTGTTCTGTTTAAACAGAAAATGGATGAAGAGCACACAAATCTTAAAAGTAAAAACATAAGAGTGATTCTTAGCTTTCTGGTGTAAGAACAAGATGTCCTACAGTGTTTCACTAAACAAAACTGGAATACAAAATCATCTTCTTTTGGCGGCTGCTGCTGTTCACTGTATTGTTTTTATGCTTTCAGTGCGTTGTGTATTTTTAAACATTGTTCTTAGTTCATATCTTATCACTGTTTTTCTTTTACATTTTATACTTTTGTTGGATGCAACTGGGAACCTGTGTACACAGTTTCATTCAACTTCATGTACCACATGTGGTGGATTTTAAAGACGCTTATTTAATTGGATTTATGATAACTGGTTCCTGCTTTTTGGATTCAGCTGGTGCTGGTTTTTTCTACAAACAAGGAAGTCGTCGGCAGCAAATTTGGACCCGATCGTGCTGATTACCTTTATGATGTCTTGGTTCATGCCTCGAGTACCCAGACTCAAATGCTTTGGGCTGAATGGATCAGATCTCAGGGATTTTACTCAGTCACGTTCCATCGATGTGTTCATGTAATTTGGACATTTCGGAACTGAGTAGACCAACACAGACTCAAGGTAAATGAAGTTCTGCCTGTCCCCAAAACAACTGTGTGTTTATCTGAATTTGGCTCCTTGGCTGGTCTTGAAGGCCATCTTATCTGAATTCTCCTGGAGAACATGTGATCTGACGCTCACCACCCCCTCCATGAGGAATTTCCAACTGATAACCAGATGAACCAGCTGAATAAACTTTGTGTCATCACTTCAGGACTCTTGGATTCTCATAGATGTTATTCTTGGCCATTCCTCGACATCCCTCGAGAATGTTTATGGATCTCACCGGAGGACATTAGCTGACAATTCCATCCTTATCAGAACTCTTACAGTGACCTGGAGAGCATCTATGGACATGATCACCGCTCTCGTCATCTCCCCCCTCTGCAGAATGTCTACGTCACTATGTGCTTCTTTGTGCGAGGTGTTTTTTTAATATTAGAGGGTTTTTTTCTCAGGCAAGAAAAAACAAAGTCTGATACGAATTTTTTCACCTCCAACTCCTACATGTGTCCATGTTACCACTGTTTTGTCTGTCCAAACAGGTCTCACTTGTAAATGAGTCTTTGTTATATATATTTATTTATTTATTTATTTATTTATTTTTCTCTGTATGCCTCCTCATTGGAAGGATCAGCTGGTCTCTCAACAAAATTGATCAACTTCTCCCGACAGGAGTCAGGGTAAGGAGGACCCTCTGACCTCTTTAAGGAACAAACTGGATTCATGATGACGACTAGAATCTACTGTTTGGTCGGTGGAATCTGGTTGTCTACAAATTCGTGTGGAGGTGTTGAAGCTTGACAGTGCTCGGACTGAATGTGGAGCTGTGACAGGGAATTGGAGCAGCTGTTATCAGGACTGTGTTCTCCCTGGCAGCACTCATGAATGGTGGAATAATCTGGAGAAGCTGTGAGCTCGACTTTTGGAGTAAAGGATCAATTCGGCTGTTTTGGAGTTTCCATCAGAGAATATGTACCAGCGAGACTTTAAAGGCAGAAACAACAATTCATGAGTTCTGCCTGACCCAAACTGTGGCCTTGATGCCGGACTTATCTCAACTCCTCCTGGAATGTTCAGAAAACAACAAAGATGCTTTGACTGTTTCCTCACCCCTCCCTTCTCCAAGGCCGTGGACATGTAACAGAACCTCAACTGAGCTGAAGATGAACGTCCCCTCTTATCTGGACAATGGCTGAGGGGGGGCTCTGGACTATGCTACGACTTTCCCTTAAAACTTCTCTGTCTTCACGGCCTACATGTTCATGTATCACGTCTGTTCATGTTGCTTTGCTGTGGGAGGTTTGTTTGATGCCTCAAATCGTGCCCTGTCTAGGACACGGAGTGACAGATCTTTTTTTATACCGTCTCTCTCCATGTTTTCTTTCCTTTTCTCATCTAAGAGAAATATTATTCTGAATAAGAATAAGAGGCCGCGCTAATTATTTATAGCTGCAGCTTCGTGCACTCCGCCCATCTTCAGTCGACTGTACGTACATGTTCTCGTAACTCGGTGCAATGATAATAAAGTTTATTCTGATTCTGATTCTGAT